CACGACATGACATAGAATTGTAGCATTCATAGATGAAAAATATGTGTTTGAATGAATGCTTGATATGATGATTTACACGTGACATTTCATATACATTTGGGTAGGGGAGTGACCTCATTAGGAGATACTGTATTGAACGTGCCTTATTCTTTATGAGAATATATTTTAGGTGTTGGATAGGCTCCAGTTGATGGCCCTCACTTGGGTTTGTATTGACGATAGAGCCGGTTTGTGGCTTTAGATTTTGGAATTGAAGAACCTTCTATAAATATATTCTTTTGATCTTGTACATTTTGTAATACAAAATTCGTATTTTGGTAAAGGTTTGTAAGAGTAATTTATATTTGGATATTTAATTTCATTACGAATGGATGTGGTATGAGTTTGTAGGTTAAATGATGAAATCTGGGAAATCTGGTACCAATACCTTACAGGTACCTAGCTTCCCTTGGGCTCAAATACAGGTACTTATGCTCACAGGTACCGATACCCCGCTGACAGTGGGTCTAGGTACCTAGCTTCTAGTGGACTTAGGTATTGGTACTTATGCTTGCAGGTATTAGTATTTGGCTTTCAGAGGGCTCAGGTACTTGTACCTCTTCCCTAAATTTGATTTTTGAACTTCAATACTTTTGAGTCTTTTTATCTTGAGTTCTTTTCTTCGGATGATATGAATGGTTAAATTTTAAGTCCTAAACTATGGAATGTGGACCTTGGAACGGTCGTATGACTAATGTATGTACTGGTTACATATTGGGTAGAGCTCTCGTACAAAAGAGACTCTGTTTGAATTTTGTTTTGTTATGATCCTAGTGAATGAGGTGTGATGATGTGGTATAGTGTTATACGTTACTCACAAGTATTCCACAGGTTNAGCTCTCGTACAAAAGAGACTCTGTTTGAATTTTGTTTTGTTATGATCCTAGTGAATAGGGTGTGATGATGTGGTATAGTGTTATACGTTACTCACAAGTATTCCACAGGTCAATAGGTGATCAACGAGTTGAGAAAGAACTCCCAGATTTTGGGGCATCACAACTTGGTATTAGAGAACTCCCAGATTTTGGGGCATCACAACTTGGTATTAGAGCTTAGGTTTTTGATTACCTAGGAACTTGAAGGTAGATTGGGTTAAGCCATTGCATTCATTGTGCATTGCATATTACGTGCATTAAATGTTGTGTTATGTGATATGAGATTATATGTATGATTAAATGTGGATAGGTATGAGACACTAGAGTTAGAAAATATAACGTTGGGGTCAGAAAAAAAAAGTACGAGAAAGCTTACAATTTGGGTATCTATTGGTAGGTGACATACCTCTTACTAGTGGGGCAAGAGAAAAATTTTCAACGATTTCAACTTTTGGTCCCTAACTTTGGGAAACTAAGTTAGTGGTCTACTACTATCTTACATGTGTGCAGATGATAACTAGAGGAAAAAGACATTGAAACGATCGAGGGGGTGGACAAAACAACCAACCACCACCATCGACCTTTGATTAATAAGCCTTCATGGAGACTATGAGCACAATGACTGCTACCTTTGCACAAGCTAGTGCCAACATGGGTCACAGAGGCTCGAGCAACCTCCAAAAGTTTAAGGTACATAAGTCACCAACTTTTATGGGGGGAGCAGATCTGATGGTGGCCGACCATTAGTACCAATAAGTGGATAAGATCTTAGAGGTTATGGAGATCACATCCTGTGCCACCAAAATAAGACTAGCAACGTTCCAACTTGAGGGAGAGGCCCATCTATAGTGGACTTGGGCAAAGTCCTCAAGGGATATAGAGGCAATGACTTGGGAGAGTTTTGTGAGCTCTTCGTGAGCAAGCATTTTCTGTCGGCTATTCGGCAAGTGAAAGCCCGAGAATTCCTAGACCTAAGGTAAGGGACAATGACGATGATGCAATACGTGGCGAAGTTCACCAAGCTAGCCTGCTTTTTCGATGATTACGTGACCATAGACTTGGCCAAAGTGAGAAGGTTTGAGGATGTTTTGAAGTTGTCCATCCAAGAAAAGATTGTGGGCCACCATCTACAAGAGCTAGACTCAATGGTTGAGATGACAATGACTATTGAGAGGGAAGTGGACGACGCTAAGAGCATCTGGGATGTTGGTGCTAAGGACAAAAAGGAGGAGGGTCAATCCTCCAACACTAGTTTGGAGAAGAAACAAAGGACATCTACCCCACAGGATCACAGGGGTAGAGCTGAGACAATCAAATCCAAAGCCAAGTCAATTTTTCCAAGTAGGGAAGAACTTTAAAGGGATGTACCAAGGAGGTCAAAAGATATGTTATTTGTGTCATCAACCTAGCCATCTGAAGAGGGATTGTCCTTTCAGACAAGGATCCTAGAGTTACGAGGCTTCTCAATCTCAGTCATCAGTGGAACCTACGCAGACATTTTTCACTCCTCCCTACCCCCCCATGGGCCAAGAGAACCAATATTAGTATCAAGCTGTGAGGTAAGTTCCTACCACTTCATGTGCGGGGACTTTGCAATCAAGCCAGATGGGCCAGGATATGGGTCGAGACCGAGGAAAGGGCTTACAAATTGGGACTTTAGGGACTAAGGGGCTAGTTTTCGCCATCACACCACAAACTAGGCCGATAGATCAGTCAGTGATTCAAGGTACATTTTCGCTCTCTTGCTTATAGGCAAGGGTGTTATTTGATTCGGGTGCATCTTATTCATTTATTTTTATGAAAGATTTTGACTTAGAGGTTGAGGTCTTAGAAGAACCATTGCATGTAAATTCTCCCATAGGAGCTAGAGTTTGCATTGATGAGATATATCAAGAATGTGAGTTAGAGATCTTCGAGATTCAACTCACTGTGGACCTTAGAGTTTTGGACATGTCAGAGTTTGACGTCATCCTTACGATAGATTAGTTGGCCGCATACTGAGTCGTTATTGATTGTGATTAAAAGAGAGTCATTGCTTATACACCAGAGGGTGTCTATTTCAAGTTTTAGAAAAAAAAAACACAATATTTTATCTCAAGCCGTGTATGACTCTTGTTGGCATAGATAGTTAATCAGTTGGCTTGCGGGCCTTACACTTAAGGATGAGACAAAACAAGAGTTGGATCCAACTCAGGTAGTTTATGAGTATGCAGATGTATTTTTAGACGAGTTATTAGAATTACCTCCACATCAGGATGTTGACTTTTTCATTGAGTTACAACCAAGTGTATCGCCTATCTCAATGGCACCGTATAGGATGACACTAGCAAAACTACAAGAACTCAAAATCCAATTATAAGAGTTGTTGGACAAGGATCTTACTAGACAAAGNCAAGAAAAGATTGTGGGCCACCATCTACAAGAGCTAGACTCAATGGTTGAGATGACAATGACTATTGAGAGGGAAGTGGACGACGCTAAGAGCATCTGGGATGTTGGTGCTAAGGACAAAAAGGAGGAGGGTCAATCCTCCAACACTAGTTTGGAGAAGAAACAAAGGACATCTACCCCACAGGATCACAGGGGTAGAGCTGAGACAATCAAATCCAATNGGGATGTTGGTGCTAAGGACAAAAAGGAGGAGGGTCAATCCTCCAACACTAGTTTGGGGAAGAAACAAAGGACATCTACCCCACAGGATCACAGGGGTAGAGCTGAGACAATCAAATCCAAAGCCAAGTCAATTTTTCCAAGTAGGGAAGAACTTTAAAGGGATGTACCAAGGAGGTCAAAAGATATGTTATTTGTGTCATCAACCTAGCCATCTGAAGAGGGATTGTCCTTTCAGACAAGGATCCTAGAGTTACGAGGCTTCTCAATCTCAGTCATCAGTGGAACCTACGCAGACATTTTTCACTCCTCCCTACCCCCCCATGGGCCAAGAGAACCAATATTAGTATCAAGCTGTGAGGTAAGTTCCTACCACTTCATGTGCGGGGACTTTGCAATCAAGCCAGATGGGCCAGGATATGGGTCGAGACCGAGGAAAGGGCTTACAAATTGGGACTTTAGGGACTAAGGGGCTAGTTTTCGCCATCACACCACAAACTAGGCCGATAGATCAGTCAGTGATTCAAGGTACATTTTCGCTCTCTTGCTTATAGGCAAGGATGTTATTTGATTCGGGTGCATGTCATTCATTTATTTTTATGAAAGATTTTGGCTTAGAGGTTGAGGTCTTAGAAGAACCATTGCATGTAAATTCTCCCATAGGAGCTAGAGTTTGCATTGATGAGATATATCAAGAATGTGAGTTAGAGATCTTCGAGATTCAACTCACTGTGGACCTTAGAGTTTTGGACATGTCAGAGTTTGACGTCATCCTTACGATAGATTAGTTGGCCGCATATTGAGTCGTTATTGATTGTGATTGAAAGAGAGTCATTGCTTATACACCAGAGGGTGTCTATTTCAAGTTTTAGAAAAAAAAAAACACAATATTTTATCTCAAGCCGTGTATGACTCTTGTTGGCATAGATAGTTAATCAGTTGGCTTGCGGGCCTTACACTTAAGGATGAGACAAAACAAGAGTTGGATCCAACTCAGGTAGTTTATGAGTATGCAGATGTATTTTTAGACGAGTTATTAGAATTACCTCCACATCAGGATGTTGACTTTTTCATTGAGTTACAACCAAGTGTATCGCCTATCTCAATGGCACCGTATAGGATGACACTAGCAGAACTACAAGAACTCAAAATCCAATTATAAGAGTTGTTGGACAAGGATCTTACTAGACAAAGTATCTCACCATGGGACGCTCCAGTACTATATTGTCTTTTTATTTATTGTAAATTTATCTTTTCACTAAAATCTTTATGTGCATCGTAGGATTTAACCATTAGTGCATCAAATCATCTTGCAGACAGTCAATGCCTTCTGGACTTCCTATTAAACTCTTGCCCGTGCTGCATTAAATTAAAAAAAGTCGAATAGCCAAAACCTCATAATATAATGTGTAGCTGAACTCATGAACCTATACAAGAGGCTGGTAACTTAAGTTGACTACTCAATAAAAGAAACTTCTACTGCGATGCTATGTTACCACCACATAGGAATTCCCAGTATCTATTTAGCATGTGATCAGTGGTTCTGACACGGTCCCACTTCCCTGTACAGAATATTGCATATGCATCAGCTGCATACCTGGAAAATTAAAAGAAAAAACAAAATTGATAAATTACCATTAATATTGGTGAAACAACTTAGATGCAATAATAGATTGAAATTGGATCATTCACATTCCAGTCTGTTTTTTTTCTTCATAAAACATTAAAATGCCTAGATATTTGAGAAATGACACAATAAATCCATTATCCAAGTTTTTCAAGGGAAGATGTTCAGAAATGACCATTTTAAACCTATTGGGTATTGTCTCTATTTCTATTGCAATTTTATTAAGGCTAAAATGACCATTTTCTAATTACTTCCCCTTAAATACTCCAATAACAGAGTTTGTGTCATTTCTCAAATGACAACGGATTATGATGTCATATTTTCCAAGATGCACGAGGTGATAATGATATTTATTCAATTTCGTGTCATCTCTCAAATGTCTAACCATATTGTTTTGCAAAAAAAAATCAGATGTCATTGTAATCCAAATTGAAAACTGTCTTCAACAACTTTTGAAAGAGGACAAACTTACTTGCCAACACCATGCAGCTGAGTTACGTGGGTCCAGCTTTCTAATAAATACTCCTGAGAAAAGCGTTGAATCATCGGTGCCCTCTTCCGTTGCAGACCTAGAGATCGTATGACCTTTTCTATATCCTCTGTAGCAACTTCTGTAGCAATCTTCGCATTTGGGCATAGGGTGAAGAGTTCCAATATAACTCTGCGAGCCTACAAGGAGTCATATATTCAATTAATATTGTTGTTCAGTACATTCAACCAAAACAACAATCGTTTCCAACAATAATTCCTCCCCCCCCCCCACACACCAAAATAGCAGAACTATCCATCTCCAAGCAATTAAAGGTTTCAGTCAAATCTAGGGCAAATACTCACCAAAACATGTAAGCTTGACAAACAAGAACATTTGGGAACTACATCATTCAATAAATTCCAGAACATGTTTAGTAAAATTTGGTGGAACTATCCAAATGCCCTCTTACCAATCTCCATGGGATAGACTTTTCGTTACTTTTGTTTTTTGTGTGCACAACCCCCCCC